TTTTATCGCACAACAGCACCGACCTCCAGCCGATTGTACCATCTGCACAGTGCATGCGACTGTTATAGATGGAAGCGGATTACTGAAGGATTTTCACCTAATAATACATCTTATTCCCTTCAATGATCCCCAAATTCCTGTGTAATGGTTTCATCTGATGATTGGACCATCGAAGGGAATATTCATATAATGTATTGTGCGAGAAGATCCCAAATCCTCCAACAAACCAGCAAAATTATATTATTATTATTATTCGTGTGCTGGGAGCAGATCGGACATTTGCTGTGTGATTGGGATTTCCGGTCTGTGATGAGACATTGTTACCGGGAATAATAATAATTCTTTATAATGTCTCAGAGATGTTCTGTTCATGTTGCTTTGTTTTCCCCGATAATATATACAGAGTGACAATACACAGATATATAATACACAGATATATAATACACACTGATATATAATACACACTGATATATAATACACACTGATATATAATACACACAGATATATAATACACAGAGATATATAATACACAGATATATAATACACAGATATATAATACACACAGATATATAATACACAGATATATAATACACAGATATATAATACACTGATATATAATACACACTGATATATAATACACAGAGATATATAATACACAGATATATAATACACAGATATATCATACACACTGATATATAATACACAGATATATAATACACAGATATATAATACACAGATATATAATACACACTGATATATAATACACAGAGATATATAATACACAGATATATAATACACAGATATATCATACACACTGATATATAATACACAGAGATATATAATACACACAGATATATAATACACAGATATATAATACACAGATATATATAATACACAGATATATATAATACACAGATATATAATACACAGATATATAATACACACAGATATATAATACACAGATATATAATACACACTGATATATAATACACACAGATATATAATACACTGATATATAATACACACTGATATATAATACACACAGATATATAATACACTGATATATAATACACACTGATATATAATACACACAGATATATAATACACAGATATATAATACACACTGATATATAATACACACAGATATATAATACACTGATATATAATACACACTGATATATAATACACACAGATATATAATACACTGATATATAATACACACTGATATATAATACACACAGATATATAATACACTGATATATATAATACACAGATATATAATACACAGATATATAATATACACAGATATATAATACACACTGATATATAATACACACAGATATATAATACACTGATATATAATACACACTGATATATAATACACACAGATATATAATACACACAGATATATAATACACACAGATATATAATACACACTGATATATAATACACACAGATATATAACACACTGATATATAATACACACTGATATATAATACACACAGATATATAATACACTGATATATAATACACACTGATATATAATACACAGATATATAATACACACTGATATATAATACACACAGATATATAATACACACTGATATATAATACACACAGATATATAATACACTGATATATAATACACACTGATATATAATACACACAGATATATAATACACTGATATATAATACACACTGATATATAATACACACAGATATATAATACACTGATATATATAATACACAGATATATAATACACAGATATATAATACACACAGATATATAATACACAGATATATAATATACATATATATAATACACACAGATATATAATACACACGTATATCATAATACATATAC